AACAAATCAGGTTAAAAATGATAAATAAACTTCATAAGAATCACATTAATTGATTAGTCTTGACATTTTCTACTGGGTCATTTAATAATGTAGATTAGAACCTCCAGGATAACTAGTTTCATCAACAGTGAATAACATGACCAAATGAAAAACATAGTTCCTGAGATTCTACATAAAATCCAATAATAGAAATGCTTGATTAGATTGCTCTCGAATAAGATTATGTGCGCTTCTTTCTATTTCAATGTTCTTTCTAAAAAGACAATATAGTTAAAGATAACTATAACCTAAGACATTTCTCAAAATATACGCATGGGACTACAAACACTTTTAAATTGAATTTGATTACTTACAAAAAATGACTAAGCATGTAAACTAAGAAAAATAAAATACAGATCGCCCATAATATTTATTTTATGTAGTTTAAACCCTCAACTTTATAGATGATTGAAAACTGCTGTATTTTATTTAGATATGTGATAATGCTTATTTCTAAACAGAAATTCTTAAACCTTCATGAAATATTCTACTAAAACAGACTACATATCACTTTCAAAGTGCATTATTATTTACACCTGTTTCCCATGAACATTTAACTGTTCCATGGAATTTAAAACAATATTTCTATCTTTTATTCAGTATGCTTTGTCGTCTGCTATTATATTTCAATACTTACAATATAATAGAGGGCTATGTAGTAATTTGTAGTGACCTACTTTTATCAAGAGAACGCGATTGGTTTAATAAAGACGATTATTATTATAACCAATTGTACCAGTGATTGGTTTACTGTACTTGCTTGTTTATCTGTATTAAAGACATTCTTTCTTCCGTTGATTGTGACCTTGCACGAATTCGGTTACACTCAGTAACCACATTTGTAACATGGCACGATCTCGGTATCCCTTCGATACCACGAGATTGCCAGCAAATACATCTCGACTATAGTCACTAACTGCCTTCTGATATTTGGTACGGGGGATCTTATCGGTAAACTGGCGTTTAGTCTTCCTGTAGTGGTGATCATAGTCAACCGCGACCCGACGCCCCGCTACAAATTAATATCACGTTCACAAAATATTTTTTTCAGAAAACTAGGATACTAATATCATCAAATTATTTTTGGTCAACGTTATTTAACTACTAGGAACTTATCATCTCATTGAATGGAGCTTTACCGATCACACTAATGAGCTATATTTCTCAATACTCCTATAAATGTTTTTCTTTCATTACTCACTCATCAATACTTGGTAACAAAAATTGCTTACTCCATATCAATTATGTTACATATTCCTATAAGTCACACAAAAATTCTGTGGTTTAATTCCCTCCACGCATACATGAAAATAAAATCAAGATAACAAAAACTATTTGAGTAGTTATCTTAGACCAATCAATTGCTTTAAGTCCACGTATGCACACATTCATAATGGCTAATTATCTTTTTCTGCGTTTATGCTATAAAGAATAAATGGACTTTTTGAGCTACTTACAAGTAGGTAAAGTAATTACATAGAATTAATTTATCTTAATGCCAACTACGGCGTCCATGCACACTAAATTCCAATTTAACATGAATAATTCTAGAATTATGTATCAGACTTTGATAACTGATATAACGTCCTGTAGAAATAGTTCAAATCTCAGGAAATATCACTTATCTACCTTAAAAAAATACGATATCTCCATATGTAAAATTGGGAACATAGAAAGTGTTAACAAAATAAGCTACCTATATATCCACTGACAATTCTCCTGCATTTCACTCAGATCCCTTTGAAAAAGTCCAATATTAATATTTCAAACACCAATTATCATCCACATACATTTGTTTCACAACTTTGTTAAGTACATTTAATTTTTTTACTTCTGATCACTAAATGAAGTACCTTTTTGTAGTTTACTGCATGAAGATCAGGAAAAACCTAACTTAATTGAACTGCCTTAAACAGACTCAGTTAAACTGCTGTAACCGATTAACAAAGATTGGATAGATTCAGTTATTAAGAACGATACTCATATATGTTGAACGAACACATTCCTTTAGTTCAATTTAATGATTAAAGTAAACGCTTTATTCTAGCATGAACAAACTGATTACATTGATGCTTCTCAGTTCTTGGAAGATGATATGCAAATTAATACGAACTAAAAAATAAACACGGTATAATATCCACTCTAAATGTATGTAATGACAATAAATGCATATACATAATAAAACAGAGGAATACAGTAGAATGTTTACACTGATCTGAAATGGATGTAAACCGTACAATGACTGTGGAACCAGACTATACTAAACAGGGAGTTTCCATATAATTATTCTTATCTCACGTACACTTATTACCTACAAGAATCTTCCTTACGACTTGGAATTCGTGATTTTCAAGAAAAGATATGTGAACAGTAAATAAATCTTTATTTCATCAAAACTGAGCACAAAAAAATTACGTGGCTAATAGTTGGCCCCAACTTTTGTTCTAAAACGAGTATTTGCTAAATATCTACTTGGTGCATAGATACTTTATCCTATGGAGTAAATCGGTGTCCGGATAGTACATCGATTTGAATGCACTAAATATGTAAGGATATGTGTGCTTATTTAAGCAGTCTGGGTTTTTTTAATGGCCTCTGGTTTTACTATCAAATTTATTGACTGTACTCTCACTGTTCTAAGTGGTTTATTATTAATAGTATGTGAGAGGATCCCGACTCCTATGACGGCTTTCTTAGTTCTGTTCATTACAAGCTTGTTACTTTCCTGGTTGCTTTTAAATCTATCTGGATAGTTTTCTTGTTTTTTGAAAATGATGTAGAAACCCTTTAAAATGATAAACGCGCTACTCAGTCAAATTGAAGCCACTAAATAATACATATTACGGAAATCGCATGAACATTATTTTGCTCTTTAAACAAAGTTCTGAATAGGAAGTCTTCAAAAGTAAACAACCCAGATTTTATAAATACGCTGTAGAATACAAAACGACGTAAGTCCAAATGATCAATAAAATAGAATCACCTATTACTTCAATCCTACTCTGATGCCTATCGTACCACTGAGATACTTCTTTACATGCTAAATAGCCCAGCTTACACACATCTTAAGAAGTTAATTATTCCACATAGAATAATTTCGTTGCCCCTCAAAAGCTTGACCCCTACAAAGTTAGATGTTTAAAATAATTTTAACACCTAAGTGTAGATCCTTTGAACTTAAACACACAAACACTTCGTTTACTGTTGTTTTGCACCATAAAACATTTAGTTTATAAAGAAACTCCTAACTATATACAGTGCACTTCTCAGTTTAAAAGCTTGCTTTCAATGGTGTTCAGGAAATCATCTAGTTGAAAGAGTTTGCTATAAATAATTAGTTTTAAATAACTGGCCGGTTCTTATTTTTCTGGGATACACTTCCCAACTTGCTGAATTTGATGTGCCTCGAGTTGTACCTTCCCATTTTTTCTGTGTAACTTGTTTTCGGTAAAAACATGTTGCGCATTTGAATGATCTTCGTAGACATGGGTTATTTCGTTTGAATTGATTCTTGGAGAAGACGATTCTTTCTAGTGGTACTAATATGACCCACTTTTTAAGTAAAACCATTAAACCAATTACTTTAACCCCAAGTTATACCGACTTCTCTATTTTGTAACATTATGAAAGGGTTGTTAGGTTGAGAACACTATAACTATACAGTAATTATAAATGGTGACACCCAAATGAACAAGTAGGAGAAAAAATGGAATCCACTATGGTATCTTTTTTATGAGAACAAAATGGTAATAACATAATGTGCTTTGAACAGACAAATAAGAGATTACAGTAAAGTTTGTGAATTACTTGACCAATTAAAAAAGTCAATACCATACAGGGAATCATATAAGAGGATACAGTGGAACATCAAAGTGAGCACTAAGAAAAACTGTTAACGGGTTACTGATGTTCCTTTTAGTCTCGCGAGTGCTTTTCTGCTTACATCCACGGCACATCAACAATACTAGAAAAACCCCCTACTACTCTACTGAGATGAATACCTATGTTCATAGCAAATAACGATTAGATATGTAGTCCCATTTTGTATGGACTACACTTTCAAACGTTAATAATAAGTATATATTTTTTGTAATATACCAATGAGCAGAAAATTGCATTTCTGACTTTCCGTGACTTAATGTAAGCCTCAGAGTAAATACAACCGAAATAAAACTAACAAGTTTAAACAATATGATTGTACTCAGAAGTGGCTTGCATTAAGCCGCGAAACGTCAGAAACACAATTTTCTACTAATTGGAATATCACAAAAAATTAATTTATTATTAACATTCTAGTCAACGCTCAATTTATTTGAAACTATCAAGTCCAACCTTGGCACTGATACCTACTTTTAAACATTGTTTGTGAATCCAAGTTCTACTTCAGTACGATTAACTCTTGCATAATAAGTACAGAACAGTAACAGGAAGAGGCGCATGTACTCGGTTACCGTATTGCACTGACTTTATAACACAATAGTATATAATGTTAGAAGTCCGATCTTTGAATTAGTCATGCACAAGAAAAGTTTAAAAGTTCCGTCTTGTACTTAGGGGAAGCTAATTCGCCAGCAATAATACCTCTAAATCCACTGAAAGTTACTCCTCACAAATTAAAGATATTACTTATCAATTACAAGCGGTTCATAAACTTATTTAAGCGTTAAGTTGTTCAAATTTATCAAAAGTTGGTGACGATTAGGAAAACAAAAGAAGCCAACTGGATCCCACATATATCACACAATATTCAGTAAATGACTTCAAGTCATCATTTAAAAACACCTAATCCCATGGAATAATAAACAACAGTAAGTAAAAAACAGTGTTAAAAGTCTTAATTTAAAATGTTTACAATAATAAAACCAACAGACTCTGAAATTTTCACAATTAATATAAAAATAAATGCATATGTAAGATGACACCTATGTGCGATCCAAATAGATAAATACAGCAAAGGTAATTTATGTGAAAGTTAGTGGTTCAATACGTCTGTCATCCATATGAGACTGAATTACTTGACTGAATTCCTTTCTATTGGCTAAAGTATAACCGACAGACAATAAATGTTTAATTTTATTGTTAAATATGTTTGCTGTCTCTAGCGGTTGAGCTAAAATAAAATAAAATTGTTAGTGTGAAAAACGTACTACAATTAGTAAGAACATAACATTATTGTTTGGTGAAAATCTGATGGAACCTCCTGAAGATAAGAGTTCATAAATGTGGAGATGGTGATCAACATTCCAGATGACTATATGACTAACACAATCAGTTTTTTTCACTCCATGTACTGATATGTATTCTTGTAAGTCTAGGATTTTGACGTCATACTAGTATTCACTTTACGTATCTCATTTAATAACATTTAGAAAAAACTTGCAGTTATTTTAGTGTTACCACAACTCACTGGACTCATGTCCCAACCAAATCTTGTTTGAAGGAGAAACCAACATTTGATGAATTATCGTTAGCAAGATTCACGGAGATTCAAACTAACTTCATACTCAAATCCAAAGGAACCTTAAACATATTCAGAACAAATTTGTTCATTTTAACTCGAACACTCTAGTTTCCATTAACTTTCATTTAAATAGCATTAACATGAGTTGACTGTATTATAATAATAAATAGTTTAATTTTCCCCCCTCCCTTGACTCGTGAATCGACTACAGTTATGTTGACAGCGTTGCTTTATTCCACACAATCGCTTAAACAATCGACTTAACAGTTTTTTTTCATAATACTTCTTATTACCTTTAGGATGAAATGCTAATATTGATAAGCCCAATTCTAAACCTTGACCAAAATCTCCTTCATCGTTGGCAAACTGAACACAGGTAATCAACTCATCGATTGGAGCAAATTTAATTAACTGCCGTTCTTTTGACTTCTCACTGACAATATCTTCCAGTCTTTTGTTTAGTTCAGCTGTCAAAAAGAAAATAGCATCGGGATAGTACATAATACCACTAATCCAATAGTTACAAAATTATATCCAAAGTCTAAACGACACAAAACAACCGTATGTTAATCCCTTCTACATTAAGTATAAAGCAGGAATGATAAGAAAACAAAATAGAGTTCAAATCCCAAAATTTAATTACTTATGTGACGGTATACAACTAAATAAGACCATGAAAATCACTTTTTACTATATATTTAACATGATAAACAAAATACAGACGAATAAATGAGAAAGCATATACAATTACTATTGAAGATGGTAGCAAGGATATATAAACTGATTTCGAGACCTATCATAAGTAGCTGTATTTTGTGGCTATATTCAGTTAAAATGAAGAAAGACACTGAAGACATCACATAAACACTTGAAATATTTTTTGCCTAATATAATTAAACACTGTTTTCTACTGAACAAGATAACAATAAACTCTGTTCGTGGACGGTGTTCAATTGAATTGAACCGCTTTGAAATGATATGATTCACACTATCACTATACCACAACCGTCAGAAACGCAACTTCTCAAACACAATGAAACTGTAAAACTCGCTAAGTTTTAGAATCCAAGTAATACCAAGTTACATAGGGGAAAGTTATTTTAGCTTACCGTAAGAAATATTTAAAGGACGGTATCCAATGTCATTCTTAGTCACATCGATCATTAAACCTATATGGTTTGTTGTGGCACACACTTGACGTTTCTTTCGATCCTTCATATCTTTAGCCATATCACATAAATTGTAGATAGCTTACAAAATGATGATAAACCTGTTGGAATATTCTTAAAAGATGCAAATTCAATAAGACTTTTTAACAAGTCATTAGATTCAGCACATTTTTCTTGCAGGATAGACCTAGGAAGATTGACGATAATCTAAGTCCCGAACCTTAGACAAGCAAACAAATTCTGACCACAATACTCTAGGACTCCATTAGACATAGGCGTTGATTTGGCAAGAAATGGTTTAGATTCGCATGAATCCCTAGAAACATCATTAGAAAGTTGTCGATTACCGGAAGTAGCCTATATGGTATTGTTCAGTAGTGCATATAATCACTGTCACAAACTCCGGAGGATCGTGATAAAAACGGTAATAATTTGACCATTGGCCATTTTTGACTGGCTCCTTTGATCCTAAATGAAGTATTTCAAATGGACCAACCAGACGAAATCCGACATCTAATAGTGCTTCTAAAACAAAGTTCAATAAGATTAATTTGCATTCAAACCAAGTGGGGCGTCGGCACGAAGAGTTTCACAAAACTCGTAAAACAATGGAAAGTCTGGAGAGCACTTGAGATGAAATCCTTGACCAATCATAGAAATACGCCTTTGGATTTCATCGGAAATTGGATAATCAGATATTGAACTTTCTTCTTCAGAAACTATCTTGGAAACTTTTGGTTTCTGTTTCCCAATAATGACCTTTGAACTGCGCTTCCTTGACTTTCCTCTCATGATTTGATTTACAGTTCTTTAAATTGTAGACAGTGTATACAGAGAAGGGAGCATAACATAAGACAGGTGAAGACATTAACTATTATACAAAATTCTGTCAATTACTGAGAAAATGGGGTATTTAAATGAATTCCAAACAATAAAAATGTAGTGAAAGTTCATCAGTTGAGACGGCTAGAACACGTGTTACGTATACCCAACCACCGACTGCCCCGACGTGCGATGTTTCATGGTGTAGGAGTAGGTTGGAAGAAAGCTAGGGGTGGCCAGACCAAAACATGGCACAAATCCATGAAGTCACTGACAAGTGGACTGAGTCATGTTGGTAGGTGCAGACTACCTGGTTGGAATCCGCGAGACGATAGCAACCGATGGTTAGAGACCCTGAATGACATGGCTCAAAATCGTTGGCAATGGCGCAGGTGCATCCACTAACTGTGTTCTCCCAAATTCTAATCTTCTGGATTCTTCATGTCCCTTTTTTCCTCTTTCCAAATTTATTTCACTGGATTATACTCCTTGAATAACATCTTCAAACCATAATCTTCCCGATTACTGCTTATACTCTTATTACCTCTACCACTACGGGATTTGAATCGACAACTGAATCTCTGCGCTAATGTGGTGTGGCAACTCAAACTGATGTACGTACGTACGAAGTTCTACGTTGTTACTGACTGACTTCACTCCAAAAGGATAAGGACACTAGAGCGTATCTAACGGCGAGCCACGAAATCAGTTCGGGGACTCAAATTCAAACCTTATGGAGAGCGCCTCCAGTCGCTTAACATTTACCCACTAGAGTATAGACGTCCTAGATGCGACCCTCTGTAGGCTTACAGTATCCTTAACACTTCTGGACATCCCCTTAAACACATACTTAAGCTTAGTCCCAATACAAACCTAAGGGGTAACACCCAGAAATTGGAGATACAACGTAGCAGAACGGACTGTAGACACAACTTCTACTCCTTAAGAGTTGTCGAATACTGGAATTCGATACTGACTGAACTTGTCTAAGCGACTTCCCAGGAGTCCCTCAAGAGGAAACTTGACCTATTCTTAAGAACTAATGATGACATCTTATTATGATTTACCAATTTCTTTTTTCCCCTCTATTATCGTTAATATACCTAGGTTCCTGCCTGGAGGTATTAGTGACCCACTGCTATTAGACACGGAAGTCCGTTAAGCGAAAGCTTCTTCTATTCCGTCCACAACCATTTGAAGAGTGCCAAGTAGCATGAAAACCTAGGTCCAGGGTTTCCTTTTGACTACCTCCAACCACCATTTTAATGACTTTATGCAAATCATTTGATGTTATTAACAGAACTACTCCAAATAGCCCATCATTATAGCAATTAGTAAATAGGATGAGGCACGATTTTAGTGCCAAGAGGTAACTTCGCACTCACTATTGCCCAGTAAGCAAAAAGACCAAGCGGGGTGCCAAGAGTAAAGAAGGTGGGGTCAGATATTACAAGACCCCGGAGTTCCGCATCTGATTTTTAATATACTGTTTTCGTTGACTAGCTAGTGAGACTATAATTTATGGACGAACTTTGAGCGATATTAAAGTGACCCTGAGGAGCTCCACCTAATAACTAGGACCAAATGAAGATCATGAACCTGTGTGAGGAATTAGAATCATGACTTACAGTTGATGGTTAAGGTTATGAATTAGACTTAGGGTTTTCATCACGAATTGCAATTCGTGATGCCATGACATCAGCTGTGATGCTAAAACGGTATTGTGCCAAATGGATGGATGAATTTTGCGCCGGAATGTGAGACCTGTTATCTTTTACGTGGTGGGTTCATCCATAAATTCTAGTCTTACCGACTAGTTCAGTGTTCATATCGAAATGAACTAACTTTATTACAAATGTAAAAAGGGATTAAGGATGAAGCATGATCACGCGCTAGACATAAGTACCTAAATCAATTGGAGATCTATGTAAACAAGCACCAATTTTGGAATAAAATAGTGACACTTATAGACACTGTACTTCAAACCCTTCCAAAGCCGCCTGCCGTTTTGATCCAACGACCTTGGACGGCCTGATAGGCGGTATACAGTACATATGTAGTGTTCAAGCAGTTGAATCTTTGTTAAGTTAATCCTTAGTGTTCATCGTTATTGCCATTGTTGTTCATTTCACATGTGTCGTTTATTTTTGTCACATTCCGGCACTAGGAAGTAAAGTTTCTTGTGTCCCTCACCCTCCAAATGGCAGCAAGCAGGGAACGCCTGTCAAGCCTAGCCACAAGGCTTGATTTGTTTCTAATATCAAAAAACAACCTGACCACCCAAGTCGTAGAGAATCATTTAGGATCTCACTATACGTGTACAGATCGAGAATAAGAGACGACCCAATGTCGTCAAAGAAAAGCCAGTTTCCTAAATAGTAGATAAGAAATGGAAGGCTGATTGTAGCTACAGGTCAGTGGTATTCAAAGAGTTAAGTAGAGTGAAAGCTCGAAACACAGAACTCATTTTGAGCATGATCTTGGTTTAATAAAAGAGCTAATTAACCAGCTAATGGCTCAAGATATCTCTGTGGCCACCATGATTAGTATTTACAGACTAGATTAACAAACAGACCTGAAACAAAATCAAGTTAAGCTGCTAAAAGTGGGATTTAAGTCTCCGTATGTAATTGAAGTAATACTACAGAAGGCGTCAGAAGCCTTATCACAAAACATCTGCCACTCATGAACTGTATAAAAAGACGAGAAGCTGAAAATAATTTAGAACCAAGGTTATATGCTGGCAAGAAAGACCTTAGAATTGTAAGTTTTCGGGTGTTGAGGCTTCGACAGAGAATGATGCTGAAGCTACTTTTGATGCAGCATAAAACCGCTTAAACGTTTGCGAAATGTCCGTAGCTTGCTGTACATACGATTGGAGTTAGGTGAACAGATAGACTACCAAGTCAGATATGATTGCCGTCACAAAAACGTGGTGACTCAGTTTGTCGACAGTACGGAACATGGTTTTAAAAGTCTGACAGTAGTAAGAGTCGAAAAAATCCAGAAGTTTAAAGGAGAAGTGGTAGCTTTACTCACTATCTTCCTTATCGTTATCGATAATATATTCTATGTGGTAAAAACGTGCTAACTGGTTATTTGACGCTTGAAATATACAAGACAAGAGCTGCTAATGGGTTTGGCACACTGTAGTTTAAACTGTGAAGTTTATGAGACCTTGCTAAACGGTCTCAACACTTGGTCTTCAAGAGGTCACTGTTTGATCTTAAGAGACTTTAATAAATCTACGGCAGAATAAGAAACTTGAGGATTAGGTCGTCTGGAGATTCTTCCAGGCAGGAACTAGTTGACGCGATTACCACATGTAACATAGTGCAACGTGTGAAAGAAGCAACCAGGTTTGACCTGAACTCCGAATCAACCTTATTAGATCTCACATGAGGACGACATCACAAACCACCACTGTATTCCGCCCATTCGTAAGAGTGACCATACAGTCCCAGTTTTCATTTCCACATCGTTGCCAACGATGATGTGTTGGCCCAAGCCAGACCAAACATCTGGAAAGCAAATATACACTCAGTATCCTCAGTAGATTGGACAGTAGAACTAGAAACCCCACACTGAAACGGCTTGGGAGGTGTGTAACAGCTTAGGCTGGTTGGTTAAGAGTTCATCTCAAACAACTAAGCATATGTCATAACAGTATAGTTCAATTATTCATTCACTTCCTTGTTTTATATAAGCGTTATATTTCCTATTATCTTATATTAAATGTTGAAATGCTTTGTTTGTCCCACGCTCCACTGTGACTGCGCGAAGATCGAAATAAAGACCTATTCACTACTTGTCTGGTTTCTTCTATCAATAGCACGGGGGTTACCTAGAGGCACGAAACTCTGGCTTGAATTTCTCGGTAGATACTGGCGCTGCTCTTACTATCATCCCTAATAATAAAACTGAGCTGAGTTGAGAAACATCCCCAATTACACTTCAATCTGCCAATGAAACTGAAATCGCGGCATTTGGGCAGAAAACTTTAACACTAGATTTGGGGTTCAGGAGGCAATTTCCTTGGGTTTTCACTATGGCAATACTGGGGATGGAATTTCTATAGAGATACGAATTTCTAGTTCACACCAAGAAACGACGCTTAACACTGAAAGAAACCCCAAATTAAACAGAATACAAAGAAAGTCACATCACATCTCTTAACCTGATTCAAACTCCTCCAGTAACAACAGCGAAATTCCAAGATATACTCGCGGAATTTTCAAACTTAACTAGACCAAACCCACAGCCTTCCAAAGACAAACTAAAAGTAAGTCATACTATCAAAACCGAAGGTGCACCTGTGTTTGCAGAACCCTGAAGACTAGCACCAGATGAGCTCAAAATCGCCAGGGCCGATATGCCATTTGCACAAGGGTATATAGACGATTTCTTAATTGCCAGCCCCGATTTACAATCACACGAACAGCATGTACGAGCAGTGTTAAAAAGACTGATTGAACATGAAATAAACATACATCTAAGCAAGTGTGTTTTCGGTGTTCGAACTCTAGAATTTCTCGGTCACACAATAAGCCCAGAAGGGATTACACCGATCAAAGAAGTGGACATCATCAAACATTATCCCATACCTAGTCCTTTAACACAAGTGAGAAGTTTTCTAGGTCTAATTAACTTTTATCGCAGATTCATACGCGGTTGTGCACATTTAATGCAACCTTTGACAGATTCACTTAAAGGAAAAACAAAAGATTTCAAAATATCTTCTGACGCCTTCGAAGCTATTAAACAGCTTAAAGATGAATTGGTTCAGGCAACTACGTTGATGTATGCGAATTTTCTTGCCCCACTTGCTTTGATGGTGGATGCTTCAGAAAAAGCGGCAGGCGGTACTCTTAACCAACTGATTAAAAACGCCTGTAAACCAACTGCTTTCTTATCGAAAAGACCCGCTCCAGCAGAAACAATGTATTCTACCCTCGGGCGAGAACTCCTTG